GATAAATTAATCATCAACCATAGGAGTGTTCTATAAAGTGTGTTAAAAAGTACTTCCCCTTGCTTTGATGTTGTTGACGTAACTTACTGTTAATAATAAAAATATCCACCCAATACTTACCAAAGCACTTTCTAGTACCTTTGATCTTCTCAACAATCCATAGGTGGTGGTTACTATTTCATCTTATCAAGCACAGAGAAGTTTAGTTACTGCAGAACGTCTCACAGTAAGGTAATGGCATTGTCAAACATGATTGCACAGACTCTGCACTAAGTTATTTTTGCTAAGCCACCACTAACTGCCTTATATTTCCATATACAAAAAATAATTGCAAGTTGCTGTTTTAAGACATGAAGCAGCAATTTTAAACTGTAAGCGAAAAGAAAGAGAACAGTGAAAAAGAAAGAATTAAAAAAATCTCCTCCTCATATGTATAAAGTCATTGGTGTGGCGTAATTTCTTTTTATACACTGCATCAAACATCAGTGCATATGGAAATCAACAGGTGTTTTTTGTTTTGCTTTTGTAAAGGCCTAAAAAATATATGAATTCTGAATATATTTCTTTTTGGTCGTACTGAAATACATCAGTGCTTTTAATATATTGAATGAATGCTGTAACTATGCACTATACAATAGAGACTTTCACTAGGATTGGTAAACTTGAGTTACAAGATCTTCCCTCTTCACTTCAGTGTTCTGCCAAAGTGCCCAATACTACTGAGCATATAAGGGCTGCATGCTTCGTAAATACACCAGATAATTACCTTTATCTATCTATCTATCTATCTATCTATTATTTAAGAACATGGAAACTGAAGGTAAGTTACATAATGAGATTTTAGTTCAAGCTAATTTCCATGAGCAGTCTTTTTAGAATTTTTTTTTCTCTCTTGGCATTGTTGCTAAAATAGTCATTTGCAGAGTAGAACATTTTAATGTTTGGACATATAAGGTTTGGTGTCATTTTGTTTATGGTATATTAAAATTTAAGCACTAAATTTTTCCATTGCTTCTTTTGTTTAGCAATTATTCAGTGTTTAGGTAGAATATTAACATTAAAAGGAAGAAGTAACTTGCTATTGTCCAGTACAAATCAATTTGAAGTAAATAAATAAATAAATAAATAAATAAATAAATAAAAGATGCATTACAAAGAAAGAGAGCACTGTAAGTATCTATCCGTTTAAGTATATGGCTGTTACAAAGTATGAGTTTGTAAACTGAATATGCAGTATAAATGAAACATGATTCATACATGGTACAAGGAAGAGCTAAAATTAGAAAAGTTATTCAAGTTCCCCTTCCCCAAGAAAAAGTTCAGATAAAAACAATTTACATATAATGCTAAATCTAGTCTTACATGGGAGGAGCTTTCTATTCACAGATTTCCAGTTTTGTGAATTAAACAGCTGTAGTCTCCAAATTATTCAGACCCACTATTTTGGTGCAAGATCAGGTAATGTCTCTTTCTGTAACTAAAGTGGCTGGCCCACATATGTAGTGATTGAAGGCATATTACAACATATTACAACTAAATGAGGAATGGAAAACAGTAAATTGGAATGGAATCCAGGCACAATGAAAAGAGAAGGGAAGAGATCCAGGTTAATATTAGTTAAGTGCTTCAGCACTGTTGCAATTTAAAGTGTGTAAAAACAGAGGCCATCTCAGAGCCTCTAAGAAGTAGGAAGGTCTTAAGGAGTCCAGGACGGGGTTTTCTGTCTTTTTAATCCAGTAACTGTATTTTGTTGCTTCATAGGTCAGGTTCAATCAGAGCAAAATGGTGACTAATCCCATTGGAATAAGTCTGTGGAGAATAAATCTCATATATTCAAACCCATGTTTTGTATGCAGTGGTCTTTATCTTAACTGAAGGCAAAACATTTTATCATTTAGTTAAGACTATCAAGTGGTGAGAGAAGAAAATGATGTGGAAGGTGAGGGATTCCAAGTGCAAATAGTTGGTAGTATGCATACATAAAAAGGTAAAAAGAAGTCCTAATTAGTGATGAAATTTACCAGTATTGGTACTGTTTAGTACAACTTTTCCGGCTAATGGTCACCTGAATATTAAAAGAATTACAAAAGGTGATAGAATCCAATTTTTATGTATCAAGAACACTAAGATTTTCTAGGACGGTTTTTAAAGTGCCTTCACTCAGGAAGCTGTGCAGGGAACTGAAACGCAACTCGTCTAAGGCAGGTGGTGTTAAAAGAAATCTCAAAATTAATTGATATTCTCTATGCCCATCACAAACATACCGACAACTTCCCATTTTCTGAGTCTTAATGGCCTCTGCTTTCTCTAATTTCTTCCTTCAGGTCCTGGCAGGTTGCATCTTTTTTTTCTCTCTCTGGTACGTTGTCTTTGATATTTTCCAAATATGCTCTCAGCTGCATACAACTTCGACATTTCGATTTGCTTTATGAGGATAAACTCCCTCACTTGTCCAGACTACATTCCATGTTTCTCAAAATTCCTAGGGACAAGAGAATTAGGTACTGTGAGTTCTACCTTCTAAACAGAGCATTCTCTGTTCTGCGTGAAATGTTGCCATAAAGGCGGGATTTGCCTGAGCAGAGCAGGTCAAACGCCTTTTGATTTATACTTCAAGACATGGACTTTTTTTGCCCGCTCTCTCGCAGCGAGAGGCCACGAGAGTTGGTGGGTCAAGCGGAAGTATTTCAGATGTTAGTCATTACACGCAGGGCATATAGTTACAGAATTTTGGCAGTATTTAAAAAAAGGTCGGGGGGGGGACGTTATCCTGCTGTCATAATCCGGTGGCTCGTATTTTGTTTCGTTTTGTTTGGAATTCCCACCACCGTTGTAAGTCACTTAAAGTACTAGTAGGCTAGTAGATGGCCGAAACTTGGGAAACTTAAGCCCAGAGACTTTTAGCTGTACTGGGGAGACAAGTCAGTCAACTCAAGGGGTTACTATTCCTGAAATGTGTTAACAGTGGGCCCAAATCAGATTTCTTCCCCTTCAGAAAGACGTACACAATTTTGCAGGGGAAAGGCCCAACCTTCTGGAGAGGAACGGAAGCCTCAGAGCTTGGAATCGCTAAGTCAAGCCCTGAGATGACTCCGCATTTAAAACTGCCCGGAGTCCGAGCGCTCCCGGGGCCGGAAGCGGGAACACGTGACCGGTCCTCTGCAGCCATTGCTAGCGAGGCAGCTGCCACGACCCCTTCCTTATTTCCTAGCTTCTCCAGCTCAGGGAGATGCAAAAACACCTGACAAGAGTCGGTCCCAGGTAACTCTGGACTCCAGTGTCACCAGAACTCACGTCTTTTCCGGCAGTGCTTTGCAAGTCCCTCACCCTAAAAGAACTGTGGAACACTTCCGCCTGGGTGGCAACCACGTGATCACGCGAGATTTGGGGAGTCGGCAAGCTGACTGAACTACTCCAGTTCCCTGGCTCCGCCCGCCCAGCACCCTACACGGCGCGTGACGACGCGGCCCACGGCGGCCTCCGCCCCGGCGCGCCTGCGCAGGCGGCTCTCGCGGTGTCTCGCGCTCAACCCCGCCCACCTCTGCCCCCGCCCTTTCCGCCCCTCCCTCCCCCTCCGCCCTGTCTCTCGGCGGCAGCGGCGGCGGCGGCGGCTCGCGCAGCTCGTTGGCTCACTATATAAAGGGGAGAAGCGGGCGGACCGGACGGCTGGAGCTGCAGCCGGTGGCGGCAGCGGCGGCGCGGGGAGCGGCGACCGGTGGTGGTTTCCCTCCTTGGCGCGGGGTGGGGAGCGGGCAACGCCCCCTGGACCCCAAAAGGGTCGTGGCTTTTTTTTAAGGGCGATTCTCGAGGTTTTTAGCTCTGGGAGAACTGCCCCCCTCCTCCTCCTCCTCTCACCGCTCCCCTCTACTCTTTCAGGATTCGATTTTGTTTGAAATTTTTACCCCCAATCTTGCGGTGGCTTGGGCCACCCTCCGGGTGTTTTGGTTTTCTTTTTTCTTTTTCGGTTTTGTTTTTATCTTGTTTTCTCGGGCTTGCCCCCCTCTTGTTTGTGTTGTGTGTGGAAATGGCGAACTCGGCAAATACAAACACCGTGGTAAGGACGTGGTTTGGTGGCCGGCGGGGGCTTCGTCCAGGCGGCAGCAACGGCCGGACCGGGCGGGGGCGGGGACGGCGGCGACTCCCGGCCTCTACTCTCCTCAGCCACCCGCGCGGCCGCCGCCGCCGCTTCCCGCCTCGGGCGGAGCGGGCCGGGGCGGCGGGCGCGGGGGGGCGCCTCGGGCGGAGCGGCGGCGGCGGCGGCGGCGGCGGCGGGAGGGCGGGGGCGCCGGCGGGGCCTGGGGCCGCCGCGGGGCGGTCCGGGCCGCGGAGGCCGTTGGGCCGGGGCGAGCGCGCGGCCCGGGTCCCAGACCCCCGCCGCCGGGTGGCAGGGTGGGCGGGAAGCCGCCTCTTCTCCCACCCTGAAGCGGGCCCGGCCGCGCCGGCTCGAGAAGGGCACCCCGAGCAGCCTCAAAAACAAAAACCGCGTCTGGGGAATTAGGCGAGTCCCCAAGACCCGCCGTGGTCCACTTCAATGCAGTGGAAGGTGAACGGCTACTTTGGGGGTCACTTGGGGTGTTTCTGGCGGTTGTGCTTAGGGAGCCTTCACTGGGGCCATTTTATATTTCTTTAAAAAAGAAAAAAGGACGAAGGTTGAAAAGCACTTATCTCGGTTCCTTTCCGAATCGGTAAAATGGCGAAGGGGAAGCAAAACCCCCATCGTATCTTCCACTAGCAAAAGCACCAAAGCAACAAAAAAAGCTTACAGTGGTCAAAGTGCCCCTGCTTTCGCCTTGAAATTTGCCTACTTCTCCCCATTAGTCCCTTTTTGGTTACTTGCGATCACGTAGGTATGCAAAAAGCAGTCACATAAATAACCTTGTCAGTCACCAACGCAATGTGATCACTAGTCCACCCCACTCTTATTTTTATTCTGACAATAAAACACGTTTTTGCCCGGTCCCAAACGCCGCGGATAAGCCCGCGGCCGCCCGACTCCGTACCGTTGGCGACTCGGGTCGATCCATCATGGCTGCGGCCGCTTACCCGGCTTTTCAGTCCCTGAGCCTTGTGGTCCTCCTCCCTTTGGCTGCCCTGTTTATATAGAGCCATTGCCGCTCTCTAATATAGACTCTGCCAGGATGGGAAGGTGCTTTTCAGGCCTACGTCACCGCCTCTCCATTTAAACACTAGATCCGGCTTTAAATAGTGAGAGCTGCTGAGAGCGGGGCTGGGAGGTGCGTGCTCCCGAGGCGAGAGGCAGGAGTGTGCAGAGCTCAGTTTATTTCTAGGTCCTTTGCTTGCACTGTAATTTCGCACCCAACAGGGCCGCTTTCAGCGTCCCAAGTTTTTTGTTGTTGTTTTGAAGCAGCAGTTAGGGTTTCCTGTCTTTGTTAGGGGAAAATAAAATTGCTGGCCCTTCTTTTTATTTTTGCTTTTAAACAGAACTGTAGCTCAGATGTCTAATCGTTTTTGTATTGGAAAATGCGTTATTGTCGGGAATTTAAAAAAAAAATGCTTCCTACATTAACTGTTAGCTGCAGGGTACTTGACTTTGGTAGTGTTCTGTTCTTCAAGTATTCAGAAAATATGTTAGAAGTAAAGCTTCTAATACGTCTTTTTTCTGTAATGTTGGAGACACAAAGCTTTTTGAAGAAATACTCAAGTGCTTAAAGCCTCAACATAGGACCTTGTGTCCATAGTACACTTATGTACAGATGAATTGTGAGTAATGAGAGTGAGGAGGCTTAATGCAAACTGGATCTTAAAAAAATTAAAATTGTAAGTTGGCAGTGTTTTTATTTCATTGGATATTAATATTCTAGATGGATGTTAATCTGATTTATTTTCCAGTGTTCCCTCAGGGAACTAACACTTTTGAAAGGAACCTTCTAAATAGTCATTAGGTAGTGACAGTCATTGTTCTTTAATTTACCAGTTTGGAATGTCTGTGTTTTGAAAACCAGGACAAACCTAAATTACTTTGTATTTTGTAAAAGGCAAAAACTTTGGCTCAAGTAAGGTTTAGTATTTTAAATAATAACTTGGAAATTACTTATTTCAGATAGTCCCTACATACCCCCATTCATCAGTATTATGCGGGCTTATCAACTTAGGAAGAATTCTGCTAAATTGTTCTTTGTGTGTGTGTGTCATGAAGAATACACATTTCCCTTTATAGTGCTTTTATGAATCCGCTAAATGGTCAAGTTGTAGCTTAACTAAGGTGCATAAGCAAAATCCTAAAACAAGATAAATTCATTAAATAGGGAGTGCCAGAAGAAAGCAAGTTTTGTACCTGTAAATTTCTGGATCTCCAAGCTGAAGATTTTTAGGAGTGATTGACTTCAGAAAACCAACTGTCCAGTTTGCTGAAAAAAATAATTTATATCATCAACTTAAGATTCATAGTAACAATTTAAAATTATACCGTCACCTTAATAGTGCTTTAAGGATCATTATTGGCTTAAAAAAGCCACTTTTTAAATGTTATTTTTGTAATTCAGTGGTTAAATCTGCATAGGTAAACTGATATCTATAGTCAGTGACAATTTCCTTATATATAGAATCGGAATGTTGAAATGAGATCCTATAGAGTCCCACATTTGCACATGAATAACTTAATAGTTTACAGAGGTTAATTTGGTAAGATAAAGCACGTTAGTGTGTGGAATAGCAAAGGTCAGAACCCAGGTATATGAATTGTTTTTCTGGTTGTGCTGAAAAGGAACAAATTTTAATGGTTGAGGTAAGTTATACAGAGGAACTCGTTATTTGTAGTTTTGGCAGTGCAAGAACGCATTTTCTTAGATGGTTCTCCTGGGATAACAATATTTCTGAAAGAGATGCTAGTGAAGCATTTCTGTTTGAGGTTTGGTTATGAGAGCAAACCCTTGGTTTTATTGGGGAACCAGTAATTCTTACTTTAAGCAGGTTATAAAACACAAATAATAACAAACATTAAAAGAAAAAGGATGATAATCTTAATTGTGTGTGATAATGGTTAGGATTTATAACAAGATAGCTCTAGTTCTATCATACTGACATGCAAACTTCTTGCCTAACGTGTTAAAAATAGGACGTGAGTTGGGCAAATTACTGTCTATTACCTTTTGATTTTTAGAAAATGCTTTATACTTTTGAAAGTGCTTTCACATTTTTTCTCCTTTTATTCTTCTGGCAACCTTTAGAAACAGTCTTCCCCTCCAACCCTTCTTAAGTAATACCAACAATAGTAGTTATAATAATAATTAAAAAATAAACGTTGAGGCTGTCCATGATTCTGTTTCATAGCATCGTCTGGGCAGTTGTTAAAGGAAAGAAATCCTGGGAAAGAGGTCAGTGTGCCTTGTTCATCTGGGGCTTTGAGACCTGTTATTGTGGGTATATGAACAATTTAATGGTATAGCTTACAGGCACAGACTGGTTAACAGAAAATAGAAATTACGTGATTTTTAAATTAGGTTGCAGATATTATCAGGCAAATGACTGCAGGACGTAAGGTTCTCTAGTTTAAGTCTTAGTGAGGAGGTTGTGAGATCTAACAGGAGTCAAACAAAGGGAAGAATAATAGGAACCAGACATAAGCAACCCATAAGGCTATTTATTGGGTCATATTAGGTGTTTTGATCATAACAACATAGGAAATTATAACTGGAAATTGTGTGGACCTTGTATGCATAAGGACTTCTGTATTTGAATTGTATTAGTCTTTGAGACTTCTTTTAAAATATGCAGTCGTAATATAATCCATTTTAATTGAAGCAAATGGTGTTTGTTAGGATGGCCATATCTTAAGTTATAGCTTCTAAAATAAATTGTGTTTAGTTGGAAAAATGACTCTTTGTTTGGAATATGTGAAAAATGATCTTTTTTCAAATTTTTTATTTTTCCTTTGAAGCCTAAATTGTACAGATCTGTGATTGAAGATGTTATTAATGATGTAAGAGACATCTTTTTGGATGATGGAGTTGATGAACAAGTTCTGATGGAACTAAAAACTGTGAGTTTGCCTCTTTTTGTTATTTTTAATAGTCATACCTTTTTTTTTTCCCTTAAAATCCTCTCTTCAGCTAGAGACTGATCCATAATTTTTCCATGGGGTGAACATTCAACTTTGCTGCAGGAGGCAGTATGTGGATGGGTGAAGGATGCTAGTTTTAGATTGCTCTACCATCCATCCTTCCTCTGCTTCTAGGCACACTGTTTGTATTTCAGTTTCATTATGTGTGATACAGGAATTGGTCAGACTTGTCTTATAAGTTTATTTTGAGGATTAAATACAATAACCATATAAAGTGCTTATTAAGCACAGTGCTTGGCAGTAGCATTCACTATTATTAATGGACCATTAACATTGTATATTTATGGTCTAATTATTTAACATACGTATAATTTTTTTTGTTTGTTTTTTTTTTTTTACTTTTTTAATGATCTTAATGTACCTATATTTTAAAAAGTATTTATGGGGGTGCCTGGGTTGCTCACCGTTAAGCCTCTGCCTTCAGCTCAGGTCGTGATCTCAGGGTCCTGGGATCGAGCCTTTCATCAGGCTCTCTGCTCGGTAGGGAGCCTGCTTCCCCCCTTTCTCTGCTTGTCTCTGCCTATTTGTGATCTCTCTGTCAAGTAAATAAATAAAATCTTAAAAAGTATTTATGTTGTGGAGATTAAATAAGTGCTTTGATAAAATAGTTTTGTGTTCTTAAGTTTTTTTTTTTTAATGTAGGCCAAATATTAGGTTTATGATATATTTTACGCTGGGAGTTGGTTTTCTATCTCTTGGATTTCTTTGGACTTACGCAATGATAATTAGATATTTTTATTTAACATTTGTGTTTCTTTGGTGTTGTAATAACTCATGAAATCATTGAATATTTTGCTTTATTGCTCAGAACAGTAGTTTTCAAAATAAGGTCTGTGAAGTCCTAAGGTTTCCCCACAGATTCTTTCAGGAGGTCATTGAGGTTGGCCAAATGCCCATCTGAATAATCAGAGTTTGTCATGTTTTCAATAAAAGTTGTGTTCTATGAAAAGTGGCCAATTAAACTTGCTACTCAACTGCACAAGTACTTTTCTTTGAGGTAACTCTTCATATGCACAGTGCTTTATGTATGCTTCCCATTTTGATGCAGTGAATACTAAAAAAGATGTGTACTGGGGTGCCTGAGTGGCTCAGTGGATTAAGCCTCTGCCTTTGGCTCAGGTCATGGTCTCAGGGTCCTGGGATCAAGCCTTGCATCGGACTCTCTGCTCAGCGGGAATCCTGCTTCTCCCTCTCTCTCTGCCTGCCTCTCTGCCTACTTGTGATTTCTCTGTCAAATAAATAAAATCTCAAAAAAAAAAAAAAAAAGATGTGTACTGAGGAATCACGATGAGATCAGTGTTAATGTTAAGAAATCAGAATATTTGATACTTTTAATGAAATGTGTTAATATTTGAAATATCGCATAATTCACTGAACTTATATTTTCCAAATGACCAATGCATGATGTTGCAAAATCCCTAGTTCAAAGTGAAAGATAAATTAATGGATTTTAATCTAAGAGTACGAAAAGTTCATTGGTGTGTGGTTTCAGATTTTATATTGTAGCTAACTTTTAAGAAACCATAACTTTGAATACTTTTTCTTTTCCCAACTGTGTGGGAAGACAGATTTTTTTCATATATCCAACCAAAACAATAAGATGGTTGTAGAAGCAGATAGGAGAACCCAGCTATTTTTCCTTTAAACTATTTGTCAGTAAATTTGATTTGGTTATTTTTGTTAAAAATGTGTTATTTATGTTAACATGCAGTGGATACATTGCTGTTTTTAAATGAATGTAAACAAAATACCCAACTTAGTTACAATTTCTTAAAAGCTCTTTGAGGTCTTTAGTAATTTTTTTTTGTTTGTTTGATTCAAGTCTTTTTATTTAGTAAGTTCTTTTCATTTATAATCTTCCAAATCTTATTTATCTCTCAGAAATACAATATTTTGTCTAGTAATGCAAACATACGTAGTTAGATGTCTTTAGTAATTTTTGATAGTAGTGAAGGATCCTGAGACTAAAAAGTTTTAGAACTGCTGGCTTAAAAATTGGGTATTGATATCCTTGAGGACTATGTACAAATCTGTAATCACAGTCAATGTTAAGAACTTTATTATTTATCTA